TTTTTTCTACAGCTCCCAACTCTTTCGGTCAGCAAGTATCAGATAACATAGAATCAAAAGGCACAACTAGTGAAGTTGGTCTATCAAGTGCAATTCACTTCAAACATGCAAATAACTAGTTACCTGCCAAAAACGAAAAAACACTTTCAATGTAAGTGCTACAACATGAGTTCCAGATTTTTCCGAATCAGTCCTGATGATCAGAACGTCTGGAAATGCGTGTTTGATTCCTACTCCATTGTGAATTTTTAGGTCATCAAAACGTTATTGTTTAATTTGTCAGCGTTTTCACATTCGTCTGTCTTAATGGTAACAAAAGTACCATCTCTACACTGGACTCAAAGTTTGCGTTTGATCGTTCGCAAGACGACAGTTTTCAATTTCCGCATTACTGCTTTTGAAATCATTTCGGATACAGGTGACTTCATTGGTCTGTCCCTTTTGTTTTTTCGCAATAGGTTACCTTTGAGTTGGGAAAATGGGATAAGGCTAAAATCAATCACTTCTACCAAACTTGAACATTGACGTTGTGTGTGCTCTTACAGGTGTTGCATCACTAGCGAATGAAAGCGAGCTCATCCTTATCTAGATTCGATTCACTTTCAGGTTGCAACGTTGAAGGACACTAAGAGTTCGTCGTTATCGACATCGTATTCATGATCCTTTGCGAAAATCGTATCAGAAAGCTGATCTAGCGATCGCTTGATTATACCAGACACTACAACTTTCTGAAGAGTTTATTTGTCCGATTGTATTCTGAAGTCCTCTGAAAAGAAATAACTCATTGCAAAGGGGTCCCTTGGCTAATATATATTTGTTGTCTACCTTAGAAACATGGAAGAACAAACTGGTTAAATTTTACTTGCCATTGGTCATGCTTTGTGCGGTTTTTAAAAGCTTACTTACAGATAAGGTGATCTTAGAGTTAAGTTTTGCAAAAGGTTGATCTCAATTAGTTGGCAAACATTTCGTACAGCAACTAAGCCTTCCGCTTCTTTGATGTATTCACCTTTACCCACGACTACTGCAGTGTACCCCTTATCATTTCGAAGTGTAACGATATCCATTGTATTGTTCAGTCTCCTAAATGCTCTACCCTTAATTGGTTAGTTAATTACAGTTTGACTATTGTCTGGATGGAGGCATGATTATTTTTCAAATTTCCTATTACGTCTCAGTGAGTAGTCTAGATGCCCTCGGTGATGACTGCAATATAGCAAAGAATTCTGGCCGTGAGGCGTATCTCGTATTCTAATTAAGTCTTTTCTGAAGGAGCTCCACGGTGTTGTCCTGAGGTTAAGACAAGTCGAAGAACTCATATTATTCTTACACACCAAAGAAATTTCGTTTAGCACGTGGAAGCTACACTTCTGTAAGGCTTTTAGTCTAACAAAAACCTGTTAACCGCACTGTTCAGCCAAATCAGAACAATAATACCTTTTTTACTTTACCATCACAAAACAAAAGAAAATAAGTCCTAAAAATTCAAAACGCGTTAATTAACTATCTGCGTAAGCAAAGGCAGTGTGAACAAAACGTGAGGCGCAAATTAAGTGGTATTTTTTAAATATGCTGCAATTGATTAGAGTGGTAGTAATCTCTAAGAGATTCTCACGAAGTCATTTTATACTAAAAGTAAGAACACTGATTTGCGGCTTAGTCAAAATATAAGCTTTTAACATGAAAAGGTATTTTTTCGATTGTGGTCATGTGTTTTATATTTCAGATGAATAAGTAGAAACCTACGAGGGAACACTACATGCCTCATAAATAAGCCTCTAAGTGTGCCATAGAAAAATTTTTTTAAATCGTCTCAACTGAGAATGATTCCCTTCAACCGTTCTTTGCGCGACTTACAGTGGACTCAGGTCTACCTAATAAACTATTGATCATAGACTGTTTGAGTGGTGTCTTTCAAGGATGTCAGAATCAATGGATAACGAAAGCTTTGCACAAATGCAAAGGGCTTGTGTTGCGCTAGCCAACTTACGCCAAGCTTTGACTTAGTCTTTTCATAAGAATTTCAACTACTTTCTTTATTATTTCCATACATTTCATCTTGCTGTCGTAATGTGTTCATATGAGGTGTAGTGACTTGGACAGTCATACAATGATGTCATGTTGATATTCACTGATCATCTGACTGACAGTGTCTGAACGCACACAAAACATTATGTAAATCCAAATCCTTATCAGAGGTGAAGAATGTACCGTCAACATTTACTCTGTAGCTCTTCACTATTTGGTAACTAGGTTTAATATGGTTTTTTCCAATTCCATCATAACAGTATCCACCAAACGGGTCTAATAAGAACCCCATTTCAACCTCCTCCTTTCCTGAGTTAGTGCTGTTTTAGAGGTTGAATAGAAAATATGCATTTTAATACCAGCTTCTCTCTTAAACATATACCATGGTAGATAAAAACAAACTAATTTTGAATTTTGAGTCAAGGAGATACAATGAATGACAGTCTGGAATATAGACTACTGAAATTTCTAGTTTTATTATACTTCGAAATAGATATCTAGTCTTCATAGTTTCATTACTGGTTTACTACATCCTAATGACTTTCTACAACTTTAAAATTTACCTTCTTTTTTCCTAAGTATTTCATATCGATACGCTGGATCTCGATATGATGACAGAAAATGTCGATACTTTGACCGTCATGCACTAATATCAGTTCGCATGCTGAAGGTAGAAAATGTTAGAGAACGACCTGAATATAATCACAGAAAAAAGTGATTTGCATGTTAAGCATATACTTTTACTGAACTTTTAAAAGTCACAATACAGTAATCGATAGATCGATTCTTTGCAAGTTAGTATGCTGACACTACACTAAATAGTCTAGCATAGTATCGCAGGACAAAGTGTCTTTTAAGGCCTCATAAACTCAGCATAACTGGCAACGTTGTAAGAAAAATTACATGTTAGTATGATTGATTTCAGCCTTAGTAACTGTATAATGCTATACGAGGAACTAAAAAACACCAACGAAAAATGCACTGAAGTAAAACATTGGTGAAGTTGGATTGTTGGAGATCAGTCTCAACTATGATGTTCTTAAAATTACAGATCATTATCACCAAACATATAAACTAATAAAAAAACTCGTCATTTCATAACTCCTACTGCATGTACCAATCGCAAACTGGATCATCACTGATGCAGATACCAAACAATCACCTTCAGCTGATGATAAACACCCCAAATTCGAAAGTATTTCCGCATGTTCTCGGATGCAATCAGTGTAGCCCAGCACCGATGAGCAAAGGAAATTATAATATTTAGCTTCTCAAACCTCGATTATTGGTGAAAGATTCGATTCTTCTATCGAATTCCTAGAACTCAAGAACCCGAACCATTTAGGCATTTCCAGGATTTTGTAGTAAAAACACAAACGTACCGTCGTAAAATGACCCTTTAATAAAAGTGCATCAGCAGAGGCTGGAAAAGTGACAGTAGGAGTACCTCAAAAAGCCGCAGCTTGAAACACTATCTTTGTCTACTACAGAGGAGATATAGTGTTGTAAGGATTTTGTTTTAAAGGATAATTACAAGAGGTAGCATTAATTACAGACTTACATCAGTTGGAGAACCAGTGGAAACCTGGCAACACTGGATAGCTGCTTCGTCCTAGTATGGGACTCCTCAGCAGTGCGCACCCACAACCCGCTTATGGATCAAACTCGGACCTTCGTGTTTCACGGCGAACACGTTAACCATTCAGTCCGTGATGAATACTACCTCAAAACCAAAATCCCCATTCAACTCAAAATGCATTGCTGTATAGTGCTCGCCAGTGATATGCTTCCAGATAGATATCACGAAGTTCTAATGGAAAGTTGTAACTTCTGGGTCAACCAGTAGGAAGGGAAGCGGATGCCAACAGAAGACCTTAGGTGATAGCCGCGCTACATCGCGAATTGACAAAAATAAAAACTGTGAACTATTGAACTCTAATCCAGTGGCTGAATGGTTAACGTGTCCGCCGTGAAACATGAAAGTCCTGAGTTCGATCTATAAGCCGGTCGTGGGTGCGTACTGCTGAGGAGTCCCATACCAGAACGAAACAGCTGTCCAGTGATCCCAGGTTTTCAATGGTTCTCCAACTGATATAAGTTCATGATGAATACTAACTCAACATTAAAATCGCTATTCACTTCAAAATACATAATTATAAGAGGAAATATATCATAAGTAGCATAAGATAATTGAGGTCACAATATCACTATAAGTTTTCCTTTCACAACGCTAGTACCTTTGAATACCGATTGAAATACCTCGAAAATGTAGAATCATCCTTTTAAGATAAGTCGTGTATGAAAATTGCATAAAAACATGTAAAACAGAATATAGTACGCCTTCGTTCTTAGTGATTGCTTAACAAATTCCAGGTTTTGTCAGAAAATCCCCTTAAATCCATTACGAATCATATGGTAAAACTAAAAATGTTTTGACTCAAGTAACAGACAAAATCCAATCGCTGAAAAGAAACAAACAATCTACAGTTATATGTACCAAACAAAAGGAAGACGACTTGTATAATATGTAGTGTGATATGTATTTTTATTGACACCACAATCAAGATGTTTATTTGATAACTATCGGTTATACGTTCACACAGAAGGTTTAACACAGAACAAAAGAAAAAAATAAAGACAGACGAGAAAATGGTTCTGATAAAGCAGCTGTGCAATTCAATCTGTGGATACAGAAACCGCAACGGAAGCAAGGACTATCTTTCCTTAAGAATTCTTTAAAAATATTATATTTATGTACATACATTCATATAAGCTTCTCATTTAGCATGAGACAGAGAACAGCGCTCACATGAAACTGGTTAGCACGGTATACACGCATGTATACACAGTATGTGAAAAGCATAAATCACAACACATCTTGAAAATGCAGTGGTACCGGATTGTAGACTCAATAATTCTCATCATAGTATTGTTTAAAAATATACAGGTAACTGTTTATCTAGAGTTAAATATCAGACCAACAGCTGGAACATTACATTCAATTCTCGACCAAACTGACCAGCTTTACTAGCTACATCTTTGGTGCTCAAAGCCGATCGTATTGTAAGCAGATGCGACATGCAATCTTGACATTTTCGACGCCTATGAAATCAAGGAGATTGTAAATTAAAACACTCACTGTATTAAATTGTTTAAGGAATAAAACATAATATTTTGATGCAGAATATGCAACTCACTCCATAGAGATATTCTGAGGACAATCTAAAATTTATCGGTGGTATATCAAGCTAAAGTTCAGTTCAAGTACAGGAAGCTTAGATTATTGCATACCCGTAATATTAATGATTGTTATTTTAACTAACCAAACAAATGAACCAGTTTTATCCTGAGCTTCTTTACAGGAATTTACTTACTATCAGCGTTATCAGTCAAACAAAATCTATTAATAAACTCTGATGTTACAGCTTGTCAGTTTATTGTGTCGTTCATTGGACCAAATTGGTTGGGCAATATTATTAACCCCTGCGAGTAATGCCTCAATATTGCCAGTATTCTCGATTTTGATATTAATGATGGGTATTGGCCGGCAGTGAAATCCAGGGTGCTCGTTTAGTTGTATTTGGAACTCGTCAGCCAAATGTGCCAGCCTCCCACTGCTACTCGGACTCTGGACTAATTGCTTCAAATACCAGAGCATTATCCACTAGGCTACTGAGTCACGATAACTACTCATTGTACGACGTATGTAATGTAGTTTTGATATTATTCTCAATTTTGACATCAATGATGGGTAATGAGTAGCAATGGAATCCAGGACGCGCGTTTCATCTTATTTTGGACTCGTCAGCTGGAGAGTACATCCAACCCATCTTCATTCATCCATTGACTTCAGGTTAGTATTCATCATGGAATGAATCCCGAAGTTCCAATGAGATGTTGTGAGTGGTGGAGTCAACCAACTCGAACAGTTACTCAACGACGGCATTGAATGGAGGTCACCCCATTAGTGAACTGACAGAAGTAGAAAATATGAACATTTGGGTTCCGACCCAGTGGCTCAAAGGTAACATAGTGGTCGCAGAACCTGGAGTTCCAGGGTTCAACTCTTGGAAGGATTATAAGCGCGCATTGCCGAAAAGTCCCATACTAGGATGAAACGACTGTCCAGTGCTCCCAGGTTTCCAATTTTTCTCCGACTGATATCAGTCCGTGATGAACCAATAGTTTCGAGTGATGAAACATCTCCAAATGACGATGGAAAGGGAATTTCTTATTAGATATGAGTACATATTAAGTTCTGATATCGAAGAGCAGCTTGCTTCAGTTTACATTAATTTTCACAAAGATCATGTATACGTTTTATTCCCTAGACTGCATACAATAATAATGCAAAGCAAAAACAGATTCACTATAGTAACTCAAAATGAAAACGTTACCTTTCTTCCCTCATCAAATCCACACCGGGTGGAGTGGGACCTTCAATAGTTTGACGAATGATGTGTGCAAAATTCCTGATTATTACACGGACTATTTGACAGGTTGTTTCGACATGACTAAAACAAGAAATTAGAAGGAAGTATGATTATTCAGCAAATGAGATTAAACAATGTGAGTACATTTAGAGGACTCATAACTTTGGGAATTTAAACACTGAAAAACTAAACACATCCGAAAAATGATGTTAAATAAAACAGTGTAAGGAAAACTCAGGAGGAAAGTGAGGTAATCAAGTTTTTAAAAAAATGATAATAACTGTGTCAACAAAAGCACTTTGAAGTTATCATTGAAAATAGTCAACCTAATCACCACTGCTACTACGTAAAGCATCATTTTGTTCAAAATACTCACTAGGAAGATTTCTTCATCAAATGACATTACCTATTCAGAAGGGCTTGCAGTTCTTATCTATTCATTTCTTGTCATATTTGTAGATTGTATTTACGATCAGAATGCACATTTAAGCTGAGATAACTGATGTATGGTTTAATTGAACGAATACATTATTATCTCTTGATAGCTCAAATAAGTATTTGATGATGGCCATAAACACATGATGCTGGTGTGGAATCCTCAACATGACCATGTTCTACAATGGATCAGATGTGACATGAATGTATTATTCCTAAAATTTCGCCATTAAGATGAGTTTCCGTAAATGCATAGAATGACTATTAGGGAGATGCAAAACCCGCAGTCACAGACATCTGACAGAAGTATATCTGCTAATTTTTTTTGCCTGTAGATTACATATGTATACAACAGCATACATTAGTTCAATTTAGTTTAGTTTTAAATACCGAATAATCAACAATGTTTTTCTCTATAACTCAATGTAGAAATTCTCTCATGAGGGAAATTTTCAGAGTAGTTTATATCTGTTCTTCTATTTGAAATAATTTGAGACCAGTAGTGATGATAATGAACTCAGTTACAGTTAGCCTAAATAAGTTGACTTCTCTTGGACAGCATTCGGCCGGCATATCATTAGTAATTAATATTATATACATGCCTAAGTGTTCGTATAAGCCGTAATTAAATGCATGAGAGAGTAGGCGTCCAAAATCATTGAATAAGGTGGTTGGACGATACATGTTAAATGAAAACAAATGAGGTGGCATCCTACATTAGATATGATAAGCCCGATAAATCAGCGATTCACGGTTTCATACTAAATCATAATTTTTATTTAAAAAAAATAAGATTAAATCATAATATTGTAAAATCACATGATTTTAGATATTATATGAAAGTAAGTTGAAAAAGAATCAGTTACTGTAGGCATATCATGCATAACTTACGTTGTATATTTACTGTGAATCAATTCCACTAGTTGAGGTAACAGAAAATTGACTAAATCTAAACTCCAATATTTACTGGAAGAAAAATTAACATGAAGAAGTTTAACACGTGAAGAAGAATGAAGCAGGAGGGCTCAATGCGCACAGTTGAAATATTAAAACTATTATAATCCACTTAAAAAAAAACAGGAATTTTTAAACGAATAACTTGGACACATAGCTTAGTCGGTAAAGGCATGGAGTAAGTAATCCAGATACCGCTGATTCACATTCTGCTGAGAACCAGTTCAATGTCAACCATCATCCGATTACAAATCGGTTAAAAATCATTAGACATTTGTTCTATTTTATTCCATGAAAATACAACACTAAGAACTCATAATCCTAATGTAACAAAATCGACGACTTCCAAACAAACGGTGTGCATGATCGCAAAAGCTGCTATGCTACATCACAACTCTTTTAACGTATGAAAATCTTGTTAATGAATTGAATTGTTTGCTTCAAAAACTACTGTACATCCTTCAATTGTTGAAGATTACACATCCAACTCTAAAAAAGGGGATGAGAAGTCACAAAATAAAGTGAAACAACTACCCGATAGATTATTCTGTGGTAAAGAAGAAGTCACAAACACAAATCCATGATCTGTAGTGACAAGATCTGACTGAACATATAGAGAATGTATTCTTAATATTGGTAATATCCTCAATTTAGTTAATGACTGATGGATATAGGTATTCAGTTAAGCATGATATAGATTTTATCAGTTTTGGTGTGTAAGATTGCAGCACTGACATACAGGTGAAAGTAAAACTAAGCACAGAAAAGCAACAGTTCAAAATTGCCATACTACACATCAGCACACAATGAAGAGGTGGATAGAAAAAGAGTGATGTTCAGGTAGACAAGTGCATGAATGTTGAAATAATAAATAGATGAAGGTTAGATGAAAATATTCAAGACATCAAAGATATAAATGTCCGTCATTGTGATCGATTTCAAGTCATATCACCAAGAGTTACCAATCAATGATTCTTATCATCTGTAGGAAACCATATACGGATTAGAAAAAGTTAAAAACTCCAGAAACTCGCGTAAAGTCTGCGTTTGATAACCACACGACCACCCAAAACGCTATTGACGGCTATAATCGATTAAGTTGCTAACGCACAATCAAATAACTAAGTCATTATCGATATTATAAGCTCAGAGATAGGAACAGAAATACAAGCCAATGGGAAGTAAATGTAACAACAATATATACACTCAAAACAAAAATAACATATACAATCATGTCAGAGAGACAGACAAAATCAACCTAGAACCTAGCATACAAATCCATCGGTTCAAAGTTGCCAAACTTCATACAGCGGCAAGCGAACCAGGTAGTCTATACCTTCCTACATGGCTCATATCAACAGTCTGAAATAATCAACTGGCGCCACGTATCTACCTGTTCACCAAGAGCCCTCTTACAACCTAGAACAATTTTCACTAACAGTGCACATCGATGTAAGCAATGGCTCGCCATACGCAATACATGCCAGGGCCACCTCAGTGGACGACAGTTTATAAGCTTACAGACCAACTTGCCTGGTATCCTTCGCTGAAACTCGATATTGCTAACATGGTGATTCCACTGAACGGGAGCAACGGCACGAAGAAACCGATGGTCAGAAATACATAATTTCATATTTTCTACTCTGTCATAACAGGACAGAACGAACTACAGCACTGTACACACCCCCCTTTAATCAGCAGTCACATATTTTGACAGTTGGATACCATAAATGATGCAAGTTGGCAAAACACAAACGGCTCTTCTGTATCCGACCTGAGATTTCGTCAGTAACCGCCCGATTCGGGTTCATGCAACATTTCAAGTAAGAAAATTCATCTATACATTCCATCACACTCTATCATCAAACTGGGAGTACTTGCAGTAGACCAGTTCTGGATTATCATCTTACATTTGACAGGTGCCGGTGAAACGCACGCCAAATATACTCAGATTTATGCTCAACGTGTTCACAAGACCCTGCATTGTGTCACAATCTTCACCTAGCAGGATAACATCATCTGGATACTCCAAGTCAACCAGACGACATCTAGGGAGTAGATCAATCCACGTGAAGTAAGACACAACTGAGGTTATGTCCATTACTACGTCTATGACGAAGTTAAATACGAACGAAGACAGTGAACATACCTGACGCACACTACTAGTTATAGTCAATTCAACCGACCGACAGCTGCTACCTTGACGTGGTGGTCGGCACTGCATATCACAATGACCTAACGAGCTATGCTAGTGGAACACGTGTTGCTTCGAGGTCCTACCATACCAGAAACGTCTGATGGATAGTGGTAAGACGAAAAGCAGTTACCATTGTGGTGTAAATCACTACATTATGATCGGAGTCTGAGGGCGAAGTCGTACTGCTGCTACCTGGATGGAGTGTGACAGCAGTAAGGTGTTTCCCTTGGATGACCAGTAGTGCCATGCTGATACTGCCTTCACAGTGGAAGGGGGGGTTAGAAAAGGTCAGCCCCAAAAATAACACACTCCATCATGCCCCACGGTCTATCGGACCGGTGTTGCTTCACTACTCATTTCTTTTCGAACATCCGGTCCCAAAACAACAAAAGTTTAAAACAAATATACACTAAAGGCTGAGTGTGACAGACATCAAGCAGATGTCCGATGGGCTCTGCAGTCATACAAATCTCTTTCAGGTACCTTAAGAAGAAATAGCCTCCCAGGGTATGGGCAGCCGGGAAGTGTCAACAGCCCTCACAACTCGATCAGCACCCAAGTTTACTCAGACTGCTATCCACCTCCTCCATCATTACCTTCTAATCTCCCCTCACGTCTCTCAACTAACGACGCTACATCATCTTCAATTTCTTCTACCTCTGCAGCCTTCGACAACGACCTGAGTACACAGAACAACATCCCTGGTCTCCTTAAACCACGCTCCAAATTACACATCAGGGCCTTCAATGTCCGCACTCTCCGTCAAATTAGTCAACAAGCTTCGTTGGCAAAGATTCTAGCAGCTCAGGGCATGGAATGTGTGCTGCGTTTGTGAGACACGCATACAGGACCCAAGTGTGGTTATTCACCTAACCTCTCCTGACCAATCTGGTGAATCCGCAATTTCACCTTTCGAGTTTATGGAGGTTCGATGGCTAGCTCTCGTGGTCTTGTAGGTGTAGGCATACCAGTAAGCACTAGGGTAGAAAGCTCACTACTAGACTGGATCACAGTTGATAGTCGCCTCTGTGCCATGCCCCTGAAGGGCACGGTGAGAACTAAAACGAATAGGGAGACTCGCCGTTGTCTCTTTGTAATCTCTGCTTACGCACCCACTGACTGCAGTTTGAGTGAAGTGAAGGGCGAGTTATACCGAAAACTGTCTAGCCTCTTCTCGAAAGCCAAACGTTCGGACAGGGTGGTTGTTGCAGGTGACTGAGTGAGGCAGAAAAGCACTTAGGTGGTACTTTCGGAATCCCGGCTGAACGTACAGTAACGGTGATCGCTTACTACAACTATACTCAGATAACCGCCCATTTTTGGCCAGCACAAATTTCAGGAGTTCACCGAGCTCAACTCAGCAATGGACACGGATAGACCACATTGCTACCAGTCATCGCTGGAGAGGATCGGTAGAAGACTGTGGCTGCTTCCGAAGTACGTATTTGAACAGCGACCACCCGTTGGTCCGAGCGCGTATATACCTTCGTCTCAATAGATGCAAGAAAAATCTGGCAACAAAACCACTACGAGTGCTGCTAGACAACGAAAACACCAAAGCTGTGTTTAGTGAGAAGTTGGCTAGACAGTTATCAGAACGAAAGACTGTCACTCATCCAGAAGAAGCTTGGTGACATCTTCAGTCTTCTGTAAAAGCACCGTTGAAGACTGTAACCGACTCCAAAATAGTTGCTAAAAAGAGCAAGTGGATATCAGCAGCTTCTTCCGAACTAATGGATGCACGTGAACGCATCCCTGCAGGCTCTGAGTACAATGAAGAGCGAGTGCAACATAGAAGTAGATTGAGAGAAAGTCTACGCAAGGACCGGGAACAGTGGTGGGCAGAGAAGGCTAAGGAGATGGAAAAGGCAACGGAGATTGGTAACAGTAGACAGTTATTTAGACTTAATGAAGAAATTAGAGGGAAGAGGTCAACAACAGTTAGTGAGGTTATAGCTGAGGACGGATCTGCGATTAACTTGCAGAGGAGAAGACTGGAAAGATGGACAGAACACTTCGAGGGATAGTCTAACTGGCTCCCAGCCACCAATGCGTTGCCCGCTATCCAGGCGGGTCCTGAATAGAACATTGAGATAGCCCACCCACCCCCCCCCAGCACTAGCAGAAGTCGAGAAAGCCGTAGGTAACCTGAAACGAGGAAAGGTGGCAGGACCACACGGACTAACTCTTGAGGTATACGAGGATGGTGGTAAGATGCTCTTAGTCAGGTTAACAGAAGTGTTAGCCAGTATATGGGAATCAAATACGATCCCCTCCGACTAGTCTAAATCACTGATTGTCTCAGTCTTCAAGAAAGGCGAGAAGTCCTGCTGTGATAACCACAGAGGAATCAGCCTGACGAACATAGTGTCCAAAATCCTAAGTTCTATAATTCTCCGACGCCTGAGTGGAGCTCGGGAACACCAAGCCCGAGAATACCAGGCAGGCATTAGACCTGGCCGTGGATGTATCGACCAAATATTCACACTGCGCCAGGTTCTGGAAAATAGGCACGCCTACCGACGCCCGACAATAGCTGTATTTTTCGACCGGAAGGCGGCATTTGACTCTGTTGATCGAGAAGTCTTATGGCAATATCTCTCACTGAAAGGCGTGCTGAGTAAGTACACCACCTTTTCGAAGGCTCTCTACTCGAACACTTGTGGGCGTGTTAGAGCCTATGGTGAGATATCCAGGTAGCTATGCTCATCGAGTGGTGTCCGTCAAGGCTGCCCACTCTCTCCATTCTTATTCAATTTCATCATAGATATTCTTATGGAGGTCCCCCCTCTCGTTACCGTGTTACACAAACGTTGACCTAATAACACGAGAACTTTTGTTAGACCGAGAATATGCAAATGACATTGTCCTGTTCAGTGAAGACGCTGACAAGATGCAGAGTCTTCTGAACACTCTGAGTAGCAATTTGAGAATGTTTGGGATGCGTTTTCGACCACCCAAATGCAGATTGTTGCTCCACGATTGGTCTTCAACAGTGCCTCGGTTAACAATAGAGAGTGTAGTGATTGAGTGTGTCGACCACTTCACTTACCTGGGAAGTAGGATCAGCCCTAGTGCATTCATTCATTGATCACTGGCCGATGAAATCTCTGCACGGATACAAAAGGCTCGATTGGCTTTTGCCAACTTACTCCACCTGTGGTGCCGCCGTGATTTCCGATTATCTATTAAGGGTAGCATGTACTGCACAGCACTCCGCTCTGTTCTACTGTATGGCTGTGAAACATGGCCATTGAAAGTGGAAGACATGAGAAGGCTTCAGGTGTTTGACCACCGTTACCTTCGTGATATAATATAGGCCCTATTCCGTGGTGTCACCATGTGAGTAATGCAGAAGTCAGGTATAGAGCTTTGGGGAGAAGAGGTAAATCTGTTGACAAGGTTGTGAACCTTCATTGACTGAGATGATTGGGACATGTGTTACATATACCTAGTCACCGATTGCCTCGTCAGACAATGTTGGCTGAAGTTGGTTCAGCCTGGAAAACGGATCGAGTCGGCCAGACTAAAACATGGCATCCATGCATGAAATCTTTGACTGTTGGTTTGAGCCATGTGTTGGGGCGATGCAAACTAGGTGGTTGGAATCCATGGGACAAGAGGAACCAGTGATTGGAGACTCTAGGTGATCTGGCTCAGAATCGACGTCAGTGGCGCAGATGTATACACACATTATCCTCATCTCAACGATGCTATGCCGAATCTCACCATTTTCTCACTCTTCCTTTCTTTCTTCTCGTACTTTATATTTCTTTTGACTGAGTTTTCTTATCTTCACCTTTCATCTCACTACCCTTCTACTTGATGTACTGATATGAGATGTGGCAACTCGGACCGTTACGCAGTAATGCCTGGTCCTATGTTGATATTGATGATGATGATGAGTCAATTCACATGACAACTCTTCTTAATCCCATATACGACTACGTGAGTTCCAGAAGACAGCTTCGATTAGTTCTATTAACATTCATTAACATTAACAGTCAATCACCGCCACAGCACTTAATGGTCGATAGAGTAAAATGCCACCACCTTCACATCGAGAAATTTGCCAAGTCTCGACAACTGGCAAGTAGGTATGTCTGTGTTATAGAACCTGTCGGAGGGTGAAAATATGATCCGTGCACCATCGTCCAGCTCAATCTGAAACCTGCATGGTTTTTTTCAGTTTGCTGTTCTCGTGTTCCAGTTCGGCCTCAGATAACTAGCAACACTAGAATCTTTGACACATTATTAGTCAAACTAATTTCCATATAGTTGGCACCCTTCTTATAGACTGCGATGATCAGTGAAGTACACCAGTCTGATGACACTAACTCTGATTCCTATGTACTAGAAAGTACCTGTTACTCTAGTCAGCAACTTTCTACCTTCATCCTTGAAAGCTCCAGGTGGCAAACCGTCAAGTCCTGTTGCTTCGTATCGTTTCAGGTACAACAGAGACTTCTCAACTTTATGGACAACCAGAGGACTGATATCTACATCCCATTCAGGTTCATCCTGCGTGCTGGGCAACTGAAGCGTTGCTGATAGCCAGATGAACTGGACTTCCGCTCAACGTTCCAGTTACCTGTCCTGAGAAATTACCAGAGTCCCATATTTCTGGGTAATGGTTTCAGTAACCATTGTCTTCTTTTTCCGGTGTCCTTAATAACCCTAAGTAATTCCCAGATACTACTTAATGCTGGTGTTTTCTGCACCACCCTGACTTTCGCCACCCACTACCGCTCGCAATCGTTGCGAAGACAATACAGTTACTCGTACCTAAAAAGAGCGGTCAGAAATGGAACTAAAATTAAAATCCAAGCGACAACAATGAATGAATCGACACTAGGCTTTTCTCAGAAAAAAAGATACGATAAGGTAAAAAGTAAGAAATCTGATGCGTATGAATAAATTGACCGTTGAATGCTCTTACATGAAATTTATGACGGGGTCTTAGGAGACTAAGAATGAGGTTCTGATGGCTTTGATCGTTGGAAATGGTTGTAGAGCGGGAGGTTAGGAAGGTGTAAGAGGCTTAAGAGCAGTATCAGGAAACGAAGGCAAAGGAAGAGACAAAGTTGAGAAGAACAGTTCATGTTTGGTTAGATCTTGTGTACTATTTGAAGCGTGTGGGCGGTTGACACTTCTCGACTGCCCACATCGTGGAAGACTATTTCTTCTTGAGGTACCTGAAAAAGAATTGTGTGACAGCAGTCTCCATGGGACATCTGCTTGAAGTCTGTCATATACAGCCTTTTGAGGGTTGTTGTTTTGAGGTTTGGTTCTTTTAACGCAGGATAGAGAGAACGCATACCGCAGGTACAGGAAGACAGTGGGGCAGGGAGTAGCACGCCAGTTTCGAGGTCGACCTTTTCTAACCTCTTCTTTCCACTGAGTAGGCAAAATCAGTGTTTTACTGCTGGTCATCCAAGGGAAATAATTCTACTGTCGCCACACATCCCAGCTGGCAGAAGTACGATTTGTCCGCTCAGACCTCTATCATAGTTTAGTAATCGATACTACAACGGTAACTGCTTCTAGTTTTACCACTATCCAACAGACCTTTCTAGCATGGCAGAACCTAAAGGGAACAAGTGTATCAGCCAGCGTAGTTCGTTGGGTCATGGTGATACGCAAGCCCAACTACCACGACAAGGTAGCAGTTGGCTGGGGGACAGAGCTGTACTCTGAAACTGTTTGTCAGAGACGGGCTTGGTTACGAAAAAGTCCTATATAGAAACAACTCAGACAGAGCAACAACATACAACCACCTGTCTTAATTGTTCAAAACCAGTAGTGGGGTTAGGCAGGGTTGCCGAATTTCTCCAATCTCCTTAACTTTGCCATCGATGACGTTCTGAAGACAGCTTTGAAGGTGTGTGATGGTGGCGTAGATCTACTACCTGGAGAACAGCTATTCTACCTTGAATACACAGGCGATATTGTCTTACTATGAGATAAAAAAGGCTACTCAAATCGCACTTAATCAGTTAGCGATTAGTATCCGTAAGTATGATATGTGCTTTGTATCATCGAACTGCAAAGTACTTTTGAAAGATTGGCAGGAGCTTCATTCTGTGCTCACTTCCGGTGGTGATCCGTTGGAAGTCAGCGAAAAGTTCGTGCATCCAGCTAGTTGTGAGTGCTGGTGGAAGTGAGTGGTGAAATTTCTAACCGCATATCGAAAAACGGAGTAGCATACGCTAATCTTGGTCACCTTTCACACCATGGCGATGATAGTCAGACCGTGAAAGATCGGGCTTACAAAGCTTTAGTGCGAACAGTTCTGCTCTAAGCCTGTGAAACCTAGCTTCTCCTAGCTAATGTGCGACAACTCAGTGTTCGACCATCTTTGCCTTCGTAGAATTCCTCCTATCCAGTGGCAACACAGTGTAATTAATTGAGATACGATAGCGTGTTTGGACATGATGGAGGTCGTTATTCAGTGAATTGAGTCATTTAGGAATACTGGCTTCGATAGCTTGGAGGACATGTGTCATGCACGTCGTCCCAACGGTTTCCATACAGTTCACTGTTTTCTAGCCCTGGAAACTAAATGGAAGGAGCGGAGGAGTAGTCAGTGTATGACGTCGTGGCGCGGGATGAAGGATAGTTGTATTGGGTTAGCATCTGTTGGTGCATCACGACTTCAAGGGTGGGATCCGAGAGATGACGCAACTCAGTGGCTTGAGACGTTGTCAGATGTGGCTCAAAATAGAAACCAGTGGTAGTCATGTTGTGTCTTCCTTTTATCTTTTGCTGCTGTAAAGTAATAAGTGTTTTTTTTATGTATCTTATTGGACTGTCTTTCTAATCATTCTATTCTTATTATTTGCCTTTTTTATCCACTTCCCTTCGCTTTATGTCTTTATAATCTTGTTATATTGTTTTGTATGATTCTTGAGTTTCTGTGGGTTTGTAAGCTCCCAATACTTCCCAGTTGCATGGTAGCCGGTCAATGAAGAGAATGCAGAAATTTCATTTTTGCCTACATATTGTTGAAGCGTAAACAGTAGAAATGTGCCAGTCCCGTTGATTGAGCAATGGATTGATTAACACAAGAGAATTTCAGACGTGAATTGAAGCTAGGTAACCATTTTTCTAAGAGTGGTTTATGTTTTTCTTCAATCAAACTTCAAATTTTAACACTTTGGATGTGATAACAAACTTACCATTTAAATATCTTACAATAAATGATATCTTTATGCAAACCAGTATTTTGTGGCCTGTTGAAACAAAAAAAACATCTTAACATCTTCTGTACTATTTCAGACTGAGAAGTTTAAACTGTTGACATATTTGTAGATACATGGACTTTGTTAGTAAGCCTTCTCATTTCTTTTCAGAGAGGATATCTCTCCAGATGTCTGATACTTAACTTCAAGAGAACATATTAGCAAAGTAGAAAATAAAGTATTGGTTTGTTGTCTATCCGTAAATAGCCTCGACCACACATAATCATTAAATAGTGGAAATATGTATAAGAAATACTTATAATGTACTAGTCAGCCTACCTATTTTTCGCTAATATTCCCAGAACATCAACCAAAACAGCTGAGTCATTCATCATGATAGCAGATTCAACAGCTGTCTTCACATTATCTGGACTCCACATTACACGAACAGTAGATAAACCCTTAACACGTGATGACATAACCTTCATGAAAGGATCGTGGGGTTTGCGAATTCTCAATAATAATTCTGCTTCTGACGGTTCATGGAGATTGCTATTTTGTCAGCTGCCGGGTTTTTCAGATTTTGAAGGACTGGATTCAATGCCGTCTCCATCAGCATCGAAGATGGTTGCTGAAAATTGTACAATATACGTTAATACAAAGAGAATAGTGATTACTATAATGTTAACAGATGCATATTTTGCACAAGTATTTACAATACCTGATCTTTGTAAAAACAAGCGATGGTGATGAAGTTGTGTGAGCACTATAGTTTAACGAATACAGCAACCAACTTTGCAATAATCAGTCAAATATCCAAAGGTGAAGCATTGCAAAATTTATAAAATGTACACTAAGAATTGACCAATTCAAACTAAACAGTTCAGTAGTAGCGTCCGAAACTGCGGTGCTGAAGAATACTGAACGAAATCTTTGCGATACTATCAACCCCCTCAGGATTGAGGTTAAGAGTTTGCTGATGACTGACAAGAAACAAAAAAAAACAAGTACAGAGTTCCTCACTGACCACTTTCAACTATACAAGGAAAATGCCTTTCAGAGAGTGGGTCACGGCTTTGAACCCAGCTCCATTTTCCGAGGTTTGAGCAGTCAGGTAGTATAACTAATCCTCAGGCAATAGGTGTGGCTCATTGCTTACTACACGAATGTATATGTAATTTCTGAATACACTACAAACTTTCGATTTCCAACGAGACAGCATAGAAGGAAGAGGGAAAGTTGCTTGGTTGCGGCTAGCAGAGGAATCCAGGACGCGCATTTCGTCCTACTTAGGACTCGCCAGCTGGATGTACGTACCTGCCTTCCAGTGACTGATGCTGCTCCCATTAGAACTCGAACCTAGTACCCATCGCTTCAAACGCCAAGGCGTTATTCACCATGTCACGGAGGCACGATAGCCACTTTTTGTACGACGGGTAGCAGTTATTACTGGTATTGGTATACTTGTAATTCTCCGTTGTTTTATTGGATCGAACTGTTCGACCTCTACTGGCATATGGGCTCCTCTATGTGGATGCCTCGATAATGCCTGAATGGTACTTATGGTGGGTTGCTTGGTAGTAGAAGGAATACACCTAATTTTCGTGCTTGAAAAGAGGAAACAAATCGAAATTTATGCCAGCGACTGTTATTATTGGTTTATTTGGAAGTCCCCAGGCAAACAAAGTAAATCCATGCAAAAGAATGGATGAAATGCAAACTTTGAAAAAAGTGCTTAATATAATCTCGTCAACGTTGTGAGTAGACATAATGCTTGTTATCGTCCTATCATTATTATTATTTGTCCCTTGGGTTCCTAATGGAACATAGGGCATCAAGTAGCACGTCTTCATTGAACTCTCTCTCTTCCACCTTGATCCACAAGCTTTCACTTCTTCCTCACACAATCTCCATGTCACCCTCGGACGCCCAACTCGTCGTTCCTCCTTTGGATTCCACTCAAAGATTTGGCCTGGTGCGTGATGTCCCCAGTCAGCCTTCTCAGTGTATACCTCATCCAATCCATCTCCACTTTCTTCTGCATATTTCTTGCATGATAGGTTCTTAGTTGGTTCGTTGCCCGACCAGAGTTCCTTGTTGCTAGTCTTCCTGGCCATCTGAGCTTCAGTAACGAGCTTAGGTAGTTGTTGATGAATGTGTTTAGTTTGTTGGAAATGCTTTTCGTAACGCGCCTAGACTCTGAACCATATGGAAGTACTGTCTTGACTGACTTAGTGTTGAAAATCCCGATCTTGTTCTTTATGCTGAGCTGAATGCAGTCGATCTCCTCACTGATTTCAGATTAATGAAAGCCTGTCTTGCTTTTGCGATCCTAGCTTTGACATCTTCATCTGTGCTTGTTATTGTCCTATGCGATCTTAAATGCATGGATGCCTCTATCCCAACAATGGTTACTTGATAATCTTCAATATTTTTTCGTGAGTTTAACCAATAATCTCTGGAACGAAAACAGTTTCTAATTTCGTTTATGAAAACTTACTGGTAAAAATTCTTCTACTTCTATCGCTTCAGGTGGTCGTACCGGATTCGAAGTTATACGACCTATAGCCGAAGGATTTCCAATAAATGTGAAAAATAGAAAACAAGATAAGAAAATTTTCAAAAAAAAAAGCATTTACATCATGCCAAGTGACAGAAAAATTATTCATCACTACATACCACCACCACGAAGTATCTATGTACCTCGCATTAAACTCACGTCATACAATTCATTCAAGAGAAAGTTTATATCATAAGAGCAATAAGAAAAAATAGATGGACAATTCAACATGTTTAAAACTAAGTCATGTAAAAAGTAAATGATTGATTTAGAAAGATGTTACCAAAGATATGTAATCATCAGTTGTTACCATTATGAAAACGTCGGCCAAACAGAAATGCGTATTATGTTTAGAACGAATGCATCATGGATTTGAGTTGCCCCCTATGTGATAAGGTTTACACGACCAAGTAATATTATTTCCTCACAGACAAGTTTTCTTATAGGTTAGCAAACATAAACTTATCTCTGGCGAGATTCACTCACTCATTAGATTCCGCGTAATGACTTCAATCACAAAAAATGCATGCTTCTATGAATAAGAAGCGTGATTTAAATAAGAAACGTTACAGTTTTTTTCTACTCCAAACGGTAGATTGGATTGTGTAACATATGGCCATCCTCAAAGGTCATATTTTGTAATATTAGAGCGGGATATATCAATACCCTTAGTCTTTCGTAGGAGATTAGGAATTAAACTAGTTCCGCTTCATTCATGTTCATCAACTAAGCTCTTAATAACATTTATTACTCTATAAAACATATTTAATGAGTTTAGGACAACATGGTTGAATGATTATGGACCGATCAACTTGAAATACAAAGTTAGTCAAATTGAATAAAGTCCAATACAAAGTGAGACATACCTGTTAGTGAAACAGCACTTGTATTGGTTCTTTTAGATACAGAAGCTGGAGTAGTAGTAGTTGGAGGAGTAAATGGTCTGTCCGATGTGTATCGGTCAGACAGAATATTTGACTGGACACACTTGGTTTCGGAAGCTTTGGAAATTACACTGTTTGACGACGAGGGAGGAAGATTCAAATTCGGTTTCACAATTGAACTAGTCTCATATTCAGCCGAAACAAGTCGTTTAGACACCATAGCTGTTGATTGAGGGCTACGTGGGACAGTATGGTTTGGCTTGAATATTCTATCATATTCATCTGGATCAGTTATATCAGCTGAATTTAGTAAATCACTGTCGTCATTGGTTGGTTGATACGGTAGACGAGCATCCGGATCAGTAGGATCTTCTAAACATATAAATTCATAGCACTGATTGTATGTACACGATTAAATTCTGATTATTATGCCACGATCAGTTCAAAAAATCATGAAGACTAACTAATATAGCAGTACATCCTTAACTTTAGACAGCTAATCAAAACAAGTTTTACTTCAAGACAACAGTAGCCAGTAATTAGTAAACTATCACCACTATAATTTGTTCAGAAAAAACTAGAAACCATTTCAATGACTCCAGGGGGAGCATCCCATACAGTAACTATCTCCCACCACAAAAATCGAAAGTTCAAATTAAAGCTATATTTAATGAATGCATCAGTTGTACGCACATTAAGGAAATATTTTGAACACTTGAACAGTACACAAAACTTAGCATAACATAAGCTTCTTTGAGAATATGACCTACATGATGCGTACAGAAGAATGACTGTTTCAATTTACATTAAAAATCAGGAAAATATACATTGTGGTGGATTGTAGGAATGAATGACAAATAGAAAGAACTTACACTCATAACATTTTGAAGATTCTCTTCAGCAACAAGACAGAAGCTCTTACGACTTATGGAGTTTTGAACTTTTGAAACAGATGAGCCACAACGAGTGAATGAACGTTCACTGTTTTGCTGAGACTAAAGTGAATGGAACGAAATGATATTATAATAACACTGGTCAACAAACTCTGAAATAATAGTTAAATGGTGAAAATGTCAAAAGATGATTTTCACTTTTTCAAATTTATTTGAGATTAGTAGGAAATGTTAGCTTCTCTTATAACCGTTAATAGTATTTACTAAATGTGACTAGTGTGGTTTGGCAGTTATTTAAATACTTCGTATTACGACTGCGATACGAGATTTGGTACTAGTTGTGTGTGATGAGACCATAGAATGAGCTGTGATTCGTTAGTCTAGGAAGTTGACCTCCTACCAGTGCGTCACTGGTTCAAAAGCCGTTCCTCTTAGCAAGGTTTGCGCAACCAGGTAGTATCATTAGCCCTCACATAAGAGGTATGACTCATTGCCTACTATACGAATGTGCACAAAGTTGATGAATGGATTTCGATTTTTTTCGCTCGATTCGACATAATGAGCCAAGCCACGACTCTCCTCGATGCATAAAGTGAACTGATGTGAGAATAGGTTGAAAGAGTGCTAAAGTCGATCACATCGAGATGTGGAAATAATACGTGGTAACTCAACATGACACAGACAGACAAAATCAACGTAGGATTTGGCATTACTGCGTAACAGTTCAGTTCACCACACCTCATATCAGCACATTACACAAGAATGAACTTAAATAAGACGAAAAGAAATAAATGAAGCAGTCAAAAGCAGAAAAAGTCACCGAAAGAGGATAGGGAAGAACGAGAAAATACTGAGATTTAGTTTGAAGATAAAGACGAAGATAATGTGAGAATACACCTGTAACACTGACATCGATTCTGAGCCAAATCACATAGTTTTCAACCATTAGTTTCTGTTGTCAGGCAGACATTTCCATACACGGATCAAACCGACAGTCAAAAATTTCATGGACTGATGCTGTGTTACAGTTTTAACACCTCTAACCTTTTACCAACCTGAACCTAATTCAGCTAACATTGTGCGAGGAGGCAGATGGTAACTAGGCATACCTAACATACGTCCCAGACACCTGAGCCAATGAAGGCTCACAACTGCATCAACTGACTTTCCTCCTGTACACCTGACTTCCACACTACTGACGTGGTGACACCCCAACTCAAGGCTTATGCTACGATGGCAACAGTGCTCAACACCTGAAGCCTCTTCATGTCATCTACCTTTAATGGCCATGTTTCACAGGCATACTATAGAACAGAGGAAACTATAGAGCATTACACTCGACCCTTAGTCGCATATCAAGACTGGCAGTCGAGCCTTTTTTTTATCTATGCAGAGATTTCGTTGGTCAATGACTAACCAGGGTCTACCCTTTCTGTATTAAGTGGCCAAGGCACTCAATCATTTTTATGCCATATTGCTAAACAAAGTGCCAGTGAAGACCAATCCTGGAGGAACAGTTCGCACTCGGGTATTCAGAAATTCATCACAAACATTCTCCAATTGTAGCTCAAGGTGTTCACAAGATTCTGATTCTTGTCAACATCTTTACCTAACACAACTAAGTCATCTGTGTGCTCTAGATCGACTAAGGAGTCTTCTGTGATAAGATCAATCTCTGTGAAGTCAGGAGACGAGAAAGATACCTCCATAAATATGTCTGTGATATAGTTAAATAAGAATGGAGAGTGAACACTCTTGAAAGACACCACTTTAACGTATATAACTCACTTGATAATTCACCATAGGCGTTAACATCCCCAGGTGCGTTCGACTACAAAGCCTTCAAAAGAGTGGTAAACTTACCCGGTACACTATTCAATGAGACGAGCTGTCACAAGACCTCTCGATCGAATCCTACGTTCAAGTTGAGAAATGCAGCCAATGTCAGTGATTGAGACCAATCAAAAAGAGCCATATCTGACTCCCACACACTAGTTAACATTTCGGTTAACCTGACCAATAATTATCTACTACCGTTTCTAAATGACTGACTGACAAAACCAACGTAGAACCTCGCACACAGGTGGACCAGTTCAGTTTACCACAAAAAGAACAGGTGGATAGAAAAAGAATGATATCTAAGTAGATAAAGTTTTGTGAGAGAATAAACGATTTGAAGATAACGATGCTAGTTCATATGGGCTTACTGCCCTTCCCCGTTATCAACTTCCAGGACATTAGAGGCCTTATCTCTACGTCCTACTCAGTATTTGACTGGATTAACTGGCAATGGAATAATATATGGTGAACGGTTGAACTATTTCACAAAGTGTTCAGTTCACCGTCCCAGTCATCTCTACTGCGAGTAAATTACAGACCTATCCTTCGCCACAATTGTATCACTAGCCACTGACATTTTCGACCCAGTTTTCTTAATAAGTCTAAATAACTGTCTACTGTTACTTATCACCGCGGCCTTAACATTCGATATCCACTACTGCTCATGTTCATTGAGTGAACGTTTGTCAGTTTACACTAGAGTCGGTTCCGTGCCTCATTATGCTGGGAGCTTAAAGAGATGCATGCGCTTACATCCAATAGTTCTGAAGAAGCTGAGATCCACTGAGCTTTACTAACCACTTTTTAAGTCATCTATGTTCTTTAACACCACTTTTACCGCAGCCTAGATATGACGCCAGACTGAGGCATGAATGATGTTCCGCACCGATAGATAACTGTCTAACCATTTCCTCACTGAAAGCAGCCTTAATATACTCATCGTCAAACAACCCTTACAATGGTCTTACTGCTGTAGTTTTCCTGCGTCCACTTAGACACAAACATACGAGTGTTGAGACAACCGTATGATTGCTGTCCAACATGGTACAAGTTTTTATGTATGTGACTATCAGCCAAACTTATTGTAAGTGAGCTTATAATACTTTCCGCCTGCCAAGGTTACAGTGGATGTAGCTGGTTTGGACGGCTGCGATGAAAACCAAGAGGTAAATTTAATCGGTTACATCTCTACAAGCTGTGTAGAGAGGTTCCAACCATCTCATTCCAGATGTCACAAAGATGCAGTCAATTTTTATCTTAACAATTTGAAACACTTTTACTAAGTGATTCGCCTTCCTTTTACCAGTCTTTGAAGAAACAGGAGTCTTCTCAAAGTGTTTGGTTAGTGTAAAGGATTACAAAAACTGCACATGGGAATTAGTATCTGGTGTCTTACACTAAATACCCCCATATATATATGAAGGAGTGGAACGCTATGAAAAAGTTAACAAAACACAGGATTTTTATATTTGAAGAATAGTAGAAACTTCCATTGGAGGATTCAAGATGCAAATTTTATAATTCATTAAAAGCACTGATTATCGAGTGCTACTTGATGAGCATTGAAGATGAAACTATAAAACAACAGAAAGCCAAGATACCACTTAACTTATCTATGAAAACACGTAACCTGGTAGAATCACTCTTGAATATGGAAATCTTTTTAGCATTATAAAAAGATTACTATGCCAAAAGCTAAAAAAAAAACATTCTTAACCTCACTAGGCTGTTCAACGCATAGTGTCTAGGATAGAAGTGTTTTACCTAGAAGGTTCATGCTAGATAATGATAGTACAGATTAAACAATGGCAAATGACCTAAGCATCATAATTCAATTGGATCATGTTGGTGATTACGCTACTACGCATACACTTGGTAAAATATCTTATCCGAGGAGCAGTGGTGAAAAGTTGTTTCTAGTCAAATAGATAGTGCAAAGAGACTGACAAAATTAGAAAAAAATGAATCAAAAATTCACTATCTAATTTCATAGACTTACAGATAATTACTAAGTCAAATTAAACGTTTCTCTATTGTATTATAATAATGTTCCAGTAGTACCATGAAAAATTCAAATATTGAAACAAAAATGCGGCATAATAACTCACATAGCTCATAGAGTTATTGTTATCACACAAAGGTTGTACCGTTTGCATTGAAGGGATGTTATTATTATTATTGTCACTCATACCGGTATCATTTCTCATTGCATTTACATTACTATTGGCCAACTGAGAAGCAGCTTGCTCACATACACCTTTATTTGACTCAATATGATTTTCAGAACTTGTAGTGAAGGGGATACACGATTTTATATCCACCACATAAGAAGTGATCAGTGAATGTGATATACAAACACCAACAAGCTGATTGAAACTTGGAGCTATGGCCATATCATCTAGGCCGCCACCAGCACGCCAGCCGACATGGACAGTTTCTAGACAAGACATATTCTCATAATCGTATATCTGTGATGACAATAATAAATGATCAGTAACATATGAATGACTATAGAATAAATAATAAACAGTTTAAGCGAACGTGATAAAGGTAGCAAGAGAAAGTTAACTATCTGAGAAATATATACCTGAATATCTATCAAATCGCTTGTATACATATAAAGTACTTACCCTGATAAAGAACTGAAAGAACCATTCAACCATTGTACGTAACAATAATCGCAGTGCAACAGAGCCTAGTCCAGGTGTGTGTGACAGGTTATAAGCAATAAATAATGTATTGTGGGCTAGGAATAAGTAACTGAAGAGAAATTTCAACCCACAACCAAGTGGTTGGTAATCTGGGGTTAAAGCCAATGAAGTATAGCTCTAGTGAAGTCCTATTTAGGCACATCAAGATACATAAAAGCGATTTTATTTTTAATAAAAAATAACGGCTGAAAACTGTTTTCAGGAGAACTAGGCACATGCATTGGCCTTATCGTAGCTCAAATTAAATTTTTCACCCGCCAAAAATCACAATAAAATTAAATAGTTTACCAGAAGAAAACTCCAAAGAAACTGACTCAATATAGAATCAAAAACCAATTACCAGTACAAGTAATTGTAGTCTTCAGTAACTATAATTTTCTACATAATATTCATAGAGTGAGAAGAGCAGTGTCCAAAACTTTATTTTGATGCAATGATTGTCATACCCTTCACAAGGTTTCATTTGATAAGCTAAAAAATAGACTTTAGTTTCCTCCACTACCCCAATGGCGCTATATTAAAAAAGTAAGCACATTTATTCACCGACTAACTTTAGTTTACAGTATGTAGTGAGCAACGATAATGTATACAAGTCACTATTACATTAATGTCCCGATTCAAATTTCAGTAAACCTCTCTGACTAACATATATTTCAACTATTTTGTAAGCTGTTGAGTGTAAACTACGAAATGCAAAAAAAGGAAATAAATACACCTTTTGAATTTTTTTCGAGGCAAAAAGTTGCATTGACAGCTTTTTGGTAAAATGATCTCCGGTTGGTGTGTTACATGTAGCATGTGAATCGTTCATAACTATATTCAGTAAAATAGTTCTTGTCTATTAACGGTGGTAACGCACAAGTAACAACGAAAATTTACAAGAAAACATGTTTATTTACGATAGATTTATCGAACTGAGTATAACTTTCAATCATGATAACATTGCAAAATAAAAAGCGTTACAACTGTCATCGGAAGGGCGAATAACAACCTTGAAAGGACCAACAGCATAATTGAGAGCTATTATCAATGTTAACCCGGAAGAATTTTAATGTTCAAGCAAATAATGAGGATGTTTAACCAGTCAACTAAGAGACATATCACAAGGGTGTTCAACAGGTTGCACGTGTAGCATCGAAAGAATGCAACCGTCACCGAAAAGTGAAAGTTAGGAATACATTCTCTGCTATGCTTATAATTACGAACCTCGGTAACACGGCATCATAACTTCATAAAATAAATAATTTTTGAAATTAACTCAAATGTTGACAGTAGATATCATTACTACTGACAGAATTTTCACGGCGAAGATGAAACTCATAGAAACCTGAGTTGTAGTCATAATATCTACTTCTCAATTGATAGGTGAATTAAAACAAAGCAACCGTCATAACACTTGCTATCTAAACAAGTTCACACATCATAACCACCGCTTTTGATCTAACATTTCAATCAATTAGAAATGTTTACAAACTGAAGCTTTCTATTCAGTAGAAATAGAATGCTATTATTGATGAGCGGATTCCACTAAATGATAGTTCAACAAAATAAAACCATAGAATTTAAAAAAAACATAGAGAATTCAAATCTGAAACATCACTGGTCACATCAAAAGGTGTCAGTTACGAAACTAAAATGATAACGTTTACAAGTTACACACCTCTTGTGAACTTTCCGCCAGACAGACAGAAAAAATCAACATAGAACCTCGCACACAAATGCATCGGTCCACATTAACACACTTCACTGTAGTATACAACGAACAAGTGAATAGAAAAAGACTAGTATAAAAGTTGACAAAGTTGTATCACACAATAAGCAGTTTGAAGATAAAGGTTAGCACAAATATTCCAGCTTTAGAAGACGTCAAAGACCGAATACATTTGAGACATTGTGACCCACTTTCACCCGTGTCACCGAGACTTCTCAATCACTGATTTTATTTGTCTCAGCATCTCCAACCACGCAGTCTACATCTCTCCACCAGACTCAGACCAACAGTAAGTGACCTCATCGACTGGTATCACGTCTAAATTGTTGCTACTCCACTTTTCATAAACTTAAGAAATGAGAAGGTTTTAAAGACGACAAAATATATTCTTAGCAAGACATCTAGTCTGGTGTGGACAGTCATGTTTATTTAGGCATTGTGTATATTGGAAAAACTAAGGATAAATCAAATTAGATACATGACTGGATGGTATGCATACATACCATATGTATTTTTGTCTGTACTATAAAGAAATAAAACCACTTTTATTTATTTATATACATACTTCCAACCAAAAAGCATGCACATACATAATGTCTTGTGTATGATTCTAAGCACATATACGCATAAGCGAATATGCACACAAACAGCGGATAATGGGTACAGTTATTCATATATGTCACAGAACCTGGAAAGTCCCCAATCATGGCTTGAAATAATAATAATAAAATAATATCTGGAAATGGATTTCAAAGTGAAAATCGAGGTTTCTGAACCTGTGTCAACCTTTATAGCGTGGCAAACACAGATTCACCTGTAGATGCTCTGCATTTCATAATGATCAAGACCTCCGTTTACTAAGATAGCTTTCGAATATATGAGATGTGTAAGACTCCCACACAGTATTCTATGATTCTGATGTTCAGTAGTGTGGATATTGGTGTCCGTCAACCACTCATCAGTGAAACCAATAGGTTTTGACTCTGAATTTGAACATTTAGACGATATCATTAACTTGTAACACAAAGTAAACAATTTACAGTTTGTTTTACTACATCACATGAAAGTGTTGAGCTTCACTATTATCAAACACAGAGACAAGTAACTTCATCTATATGTAACTTGGTCTCACTGCAAACGGAGAACTGCTTACGCTACAAATACTTCTTAAAGTGATAAAGTTGAACAAAAAAAAGTCTACATAATTTTTGATGGGTGTTAGATGAGAAAGTCAAGACAATATTTCTGACGTATTAACTACACAAAATAGCCAGGCGTAAACCTAGCAACTAGACTGAGTCACAAGTTTTGTAATGTGCTTTAAAGACCACCCTAGCAACTGTTGAAACAGCCAATTGTAGGAGTGCAGATGACATTATCCAGTTCCTCAAGGCGAAAAAGAAAGAAAAATGGACAGGACTTTTACAGGTGGTAAGATATCTTTCGAGCCTTCATGTTTGGATAATTAAAAGGCACGCTAAAGAAATAAACATCATGTGGGTAACAAGCTTAGGATCATACGTCATACTCAAGTGAATAAAAAAACGAACTGAGCGTAAACCCATCTCTTGACTCATTCAACTTGTGTGCTTTAAGTGTATACGTTAACAACCCAATCATCGGAGATATATCTCCGAATTGAGTACCAGCATGCACAGAATCTGGTTCCTCTAATCAAATCACTTCAAAATCTGAAGTGCAATATGTCACTGACTGCAACAGACACAACGAAAATAAACTTTCTACAACATAAAACTGAGCATATAAATCTTATTTCTCATAGCATCCAAACTGACGTATTTTAAACATCTATACACAACAACTTACTCGAAGATAGTCATTTGTAGCCACATACAAACACGTCCACTTGGATGAAATGCAATACGCCGTACGCTTGTAGCATTCAATTCCGGTCCACTGACTGCAACTTGTGCGAAATTTTCCAAGTCATACAACCGAACAGTATGATCAGCTGAAGCTGATGCCAAGAGCAAGACTGTAGGATGAAAGGCAACTGCTACAACGGGACCAGTGTGACCAGTTAATTCAGCCAATTGTCGACCAGCTGATAAATCCCAAAGCTATTTATAAACAAAATACACCGGATTTCAAACAAACTAATTTTTAAATGACCATTTTAACTGAGTGTTCAGCACAGAGACAGTACTTACACATATAAAACAGACAAAATTATTAAAATTAAGAAATAGGATAAACTTTATCAGTCGCATGGAATATTAACAAATACGGGGGCTGGAGGTGGACTATACATCAACAAAATTAAACGAATCTGAAGCAATCGTTTAGAGTATTTGTGCGAACTTGTTTGATGAGCAAGTGTAATAGAAAAAACTGGGTGGCGATAAGAAATGAACCAGAGATCAGGTGTTACTGGCCTAACTTGACCAATTATACATAAAGATAATCATCAACAAACTTTTAGCTGGTATTTCTCATACATATGCTTTCCTTTGTCAACTTTAAAAGAGCACAAAACATTTGAACAGAATAACACGGATCCTTTTTATTATTTTGGCGGTTGTCGTCAGCTGCTTAGAAAACGAGACAAAGGAATAGCGAAATAAAGAAACTGTGCTAATTAAAATAGTGTTAAAATGTTACGTAATGGTGTTATGAATGTATATCGTATCAGAATGAAAACTACCGTAAAAGTTAGATGGGGTAAGAAAACGAATACCGCCAAAATTGTAAACAGTAGTTGAATGTTGTCCAACTAACAAAGCAAATGTGGTGACATAACTGAAAAACAACTGCTGATGAGACTGATCTTACTGCTCCCTTATAGTCAAGTAGTGATCAATTTCAAAGTATAAAATGAGAATAAATGCATGTTACTGCATGAAAACGAAACCACTGTCTGTGTGAGAAAAAAATACAACCTGACAGTACTCAGAATCATCTTTCGGACAGGAAAGATCACTGAACAGTCAATAGGTGTAAGGCTGAAGTTCTCACTGTTACGACAACGACCACGAACACCTCTTACAATCCCGAATCAAGTCCTTTAAAAAAACTGACTTTATGAAAATCTGTTTACAAAGCTCACTGTTAGACGCTCTCAACTACATGAAATGAGTTTATTCGTTTGCAAAATAAAAGTCAGACTCAGCGTACCTTTTTGACTTTAAAAATATGAAAACATCAGTACAGTCATTCCCATACACTTCCTCCAATATAGTAGGGACGTAGCATACTGGCTTAGGCACTCAACTTTCAATTAGTGGGTCGTGGTTCTGTTGTGGATATGATCAATACCTCCTAGATTCCACAAACAAGCCTGTAATTCCCTCAAAGCTTTCATAATCAGTCACGCCAAGTCAGACATTCGCGAGAAGCCATGTCATCATACATGTAAGATCCAGATTGGCTAAATGTCTTTCTAGAAAGGTGTGGGAAATATCAAGGCCACTTTAAGCTTATGTATACCAATACCTTTAGTTCACTTATCGGTTTCACAAGAACATCCAAGGCTCTCATACAGTGGGAACCAATCTCCTCCACGATCATGACAGTAATATTCAAATCAAAAGGAAGGAAAGTCACAACCATTCAATGCTACGCCCCAACAAATAATGCAGATCAAGAGAAGAAGGAGAAATTCTACAGACAACTGCAATCAGTACTAGACAAGACCCCACTCCAGTTGGCAACATCAAAATTCTAATGGGTGACATGAATGACAAACTAGGAGCAGACAACACAGGAGGAGAACTCATCATCGGTTGAGAAGCACTCGGTGAAATGATGAAAGAGAATGGGGAACTGTTTACAGACTTCTGCATATTTAATGACTTAGTGATTGGGGGCAGTGTGTACAAACATAAGGACATTCACAAAGAGACATGGATTTCACCAGATGGACACACCGAAAATCACGTCGACTTCATCTCAATCTCAAGAAAGTGGAGACACAGTCTACTTGAAACAAGATCTAGAAGAGGAGCAGATGTAAGTTAACACCACCATCTAGTGTAAAGAATCTACTTTCAAAATCAAGTTGAAAGCCTTCAATTCAAAAAAGTCGGTGATGGACCACAGTCCAAGTTCAACACCCGGAACAGAAACTAACTGAAGGACGAAACTACAAAGAAAATCTTCACGGTAGCCATCAGAACAAAATGGGAGACATTGAGCAACATCTTTGAAGGAACCTACATGGAAGAACACTGCGACTCTTTGGAAGAGATGTGCAAAGAAACCTGCATAAACGTATTAGGAAGTAGAAAAGAGATAAGGAATGGATCTCAACGGACACATGGAAGCTGATACAGCAGGGAGAGGAAGATGGTGATGGTGCAGACGATGAACTAGTGCAAGAATGAACAACGAAAAGAAGAACTCTGTTCAACGTATAAAACACTGGACCCAGAAGTGAAGAAGAGTGCGCGCAAAGATAAAAGACACTTTTACCACACATTGGCAAGTGAAGCAGAATAGGGTGTTGGTAGGAAGGACCGGAAGACATCATGTCAAATAACCTGGTTACTATCCGGGAAGAGATCAACACAGATAAAACCAGTAAAAGATGATGTAGGAAATCTAATTACCAAAGAAGAGAAACAAAGAAAAAGATGGGCCAACCATTTCAAAAAACTCTTGAATCGACCACCACCACCACCAACTGCAACCTCCGGAAATATCACCTGCAGCCACAGAACTACCAGTGAACACAGGCCCTTCGACAAAAGCACAAGTCCTGAATCCCATAAAACTGCTGAAAGTCGAGAGAGCAGCAGGACCAGATGGAATTCCTCCAGACACACCGAGAACAGACTCAGAGACATCTGCAGCGGACACGTTAACATCACTATTGCAAAAGGTCTGGAAGGAAGGAAAGAGGGAAAGGTAGGTACCTGCAGATTGACCGGAAGAAGGGCTACCTTGTCAAACTCACAAAGAAGGGAGACCTATGTCTTTGCAAGAACTGGCGTGGAATCATGCCGCTGTCAACTCCAAGCAAAATATTATGCCGCATCATCCTGGAGAGATTAAAGGATGCGCTGGATTCAAAATTACGATAGGAATAGATTGGCTGGCTGGCTGGCTGGCTTCAGGAAGAACAAATCATGTGCAGATCAAATTGCAACGCTACTCTACGGATCACAACAGAACAGAGTTTAGAATGGCAGTTAACTCTCTACCTCAACTTCATCGATTTCGAAAAGGCCTTTGACAGCGTCGACCGAGGAGTAATTTGGCAACTGCTTCAACAATGCGATTTTAGTGCAACAAACCTTTATCAACCTCATTCAACAACTATATGACGACGCCACATGCCAAGTGATCCACAATAGACAGCTCAGTGGCGCCTTTGAAGTGAAGACAGGAGTTAGACAAGGCTGCCGTCTACATCACCCATGATCTTCCTGATTGTGGTGGACTGGATCATGCGGCGAATCGTGAGGAGCGAGAAGAGGGGCATATGCTGGTTGAACCGATTAGAAGACCCTAGAAGATTTGGATTTCCCCCTTGATGATTTATGTCCAATGTCTCGTCGCACAAACTCGAAGATCTACAGGTTAAAACTACCAAGTTGACAGAAGAGGTAGGGCAGTGAAAACGGGACTTCAAGTGAATGTGGAGAAGACGGAGGTGATGAAGATACCCAACCAACAACAACGGAAACAACAAACACCAATCACCATGAATGGGAGAAATCTAAAGGAAGTTGTCTCTTTCACCTGCGTAGGCAGCATCGTTTCAACTATATGTGGCAGCGGTACAGACAAGGATGTCAAAACCAGGATCGGAAAAGGAAGACAAGGTTTCACTAATCTGAAAAGTGTGGAGATCTTCTGCACTCAGCATGTGGAACAAGATCCGAATTTTCAACAGCAATATCAAGTCAGCGCTTCTGTATGGCTCAGAAACAACGTGTCACGAAAGGCATTCCCAATAAACTAAACACATTCATCAACAACTACCTAAGCTCGTTACTGAAGCTCAGATGGCCAGGAAGACTAGGCAACAAGGAACTCTGGTCGGGCAACGAACCAACTAAGAACCTATCATGCAAGAAATATGCAGAAGAAAGTGGAGATGGATTGGATGAGGTATACACTGAGAAGGCTGACTGGGGACATCACGCACCAGGCCAAATCTTTGAGTGGAATCCAAAGGAGGAACGACGAGTTGGGCGTCCGAGGGTGACATGGAGATTGTGTGAGGAAGAAGTGAAAGCTTGTGGACAAAGGTGGAGCCAGGTTGAAGAGACTGCAGAGAAGAGAGTTCAATGAAGACGTGCTACTTGATGCCCTATGTCCCACTAGGAACCCAAGGGGAAAAATAATAATAATCGTTGTGCCACTTCTTTCTACTTCGGAGCACCATGAGTCAACAATATTTAGGGGAACAATGAAAATCATAAAAGAATAAATAGAAACATTATCGTGACTTAGGTCTTCTTGGCAGAGGGCATTGTTAACTCAACATAGAACTGAACCCAGAACCCTAAGGAGAAGAGTATGAGGTCCGAGCCCTATGGGAACAACACCACTCACTGGGGTGCAGGTACACCCAGCTGACGAGTCCCAAACAGGTTGAGACGCGCGTCCTAGATTCCCCTGCTAGTCATTAAGATCAATATAAAAGATATAGATCGATGAAGAATAATAGAGGAAACTATCAGATGAGGACATTAAAGCTTTACGCATAAAGCAGAGTTAATTTAAAGAAATTTTTTTACGTTTTAATTTATTTATTTACGGAAATCAAGACAGTACATGTGTATGTGGTAGACCGTGAGCCATGCTTTGTGTGTGGAAGGGTTTATGATACTATCCAGTTTATCAAACCGAAGTAGGTAGGGAAGAATTTACTAAAGAGTCGAGTGCATAAGTCAATGAACCACATCACCTTCCGATATCTAACGAAGAGATAACTGAGAAACATATTTATTTGAATAAAGTATAATCTAACCCGTAATAATCAGATAGGAACCTAGGGATAATTACAGTACTTGAGTTTACAGAGATGACAGTGACTTACAATGCTCCTTCCTAGTACACAAATGTATCCAACAACAAAATAATAATTCGCCACGACCGTCCCAAGTTCTTT